ACCTAAAACTATGAAGATGCTGCTCAAAATGACTTCACACAAGTTTAATCCTGTGCGTCACTGTATGTCAAGGGTCAGAACAACTACTAAAAAATAAATTCATAAGTAAAATGCACACATAAAAACATTACTTTCTGCTGAAATCACTCTTGGCTCCATTTTTTTTCCTTCTTCCAGCACCTGAAAAATAATGAAAATATGTAACTCAGATTTTTTTATGCATTTGAAGCCTTTTCGTACACTTCTTTCTTGCAAATGTGCCGCATGGTCACAAAGAACTGCATATCCAAAGTGTTTTACAAAAAAGGAAAGAACCCAGTTCCTCCACCACAAAAAAACGTTACACGCAGCAGTTATTACACACTAGCATCCTCACTGCACAGAAGATCGTGTGGAGGGGAGAGAAATCCACTTGAATTCATAATTAATAGAATTCTTTAATGATCAAGTAGTAGGTCCTTGATTTATCGTCTCATTGAAAGGAGTGGCACCCCCAACAGCACAGGCAGCCCAGTATAAGTATCCTGGAGCACTGGTCTGTGGAAATTCTGGTTCATACGGAGAGTACCCCAACATCATCTAGAGCAGCAACCTGGTTTCAGGTTGAACCCAAGGGCTCCCATCCCACAACGGACAAGGCCTATTCTTGCGTAGTTTCCGAGACACCATGAGACGAGGCAAGGAAGTCGTAAAACTCGGGATGCTACTAGCTCTCCAGCGTTCGGGATATCCTTTTCAAAAGCTCGACACGGCTGCCGTAACATTTAAAACCCCCCCTAATTTCCTTCTAACGTCTCACGGGGCCACGGATAAGTGAAAACTCTGCAGATAAAGCAACCGTTGGGAGGGGGGAAAAAAAGCTCCTGTACGACAGGCTTTGATGTCCCCAGTCCCATCTAGGAACCCCCTAGGAGAGAGTGGAACGTCAGATTGTCTACCTCGGATGCTGTCCAGCTCTTCTCGGAAGCGGGCGCTTTGCTGGAGAAGGTCCCGCATCCCCTCGGAGTCATTACTGCACAGCACCTGGGCCTTCTCATTGGCCTCCAGAGCCCGCACGCGCTCCCCAAGAAAGAACAGGGCATCGCAGAAACGGTAGTGACCCTGAGGAGCACAAGCAAGCCAGCCACTCACTGCAGACATCCCTGCTGAACAGGGCCCAACACTTCTTTTTGAAAATCTTTTCAACTGTCCTCGC